CAGTAACATCTTGCAAAGGTACTACATCAAAATAATGTTCATAAATTAAAAATACTTGTTACTTTAATGGATCTAAATGTTTAACTACAGGAGTACCTGAATAATTAAATAAATTTGGATGTATTAATTAATCAGGAACTTGGAAATTCTCATATTTTACGTGTTCTAAATTAACAAATGAAATGCAATCAAGTTGTACCAATTTATCAAAACAGGCTTGTTTAAGTGATCTGACAAAGGAAATAAGTTGTTAATGGAAAGATCATAACTGTTTCAATTTACTTGAAAATGAAAATAAAAAACTAATTTCATGTCAAGATTTAAATCAAAGAGCTTGTCAAAATGTTAGTCTATCAAATATCTAATGTATTTGGAATCTAACAAACAAAATTTGTGATTAGATTACTCTAACAAATACTGAATGTAGTAATCTTAACAATTTAGATCCCTTAATTTCTATTAGTGTCTGCTCAAGTTAAACAACTAAAAGTTGTGTTAGGCATTATGACAAAACTAAATGTACAGAAATAAATGAGAAATTGAACAATTGTAATCTCTATGGATTAAACTTATAAGCATGTATGTAATAAACAACAATACCTTGTACTTGGGTATAACTAAATGATGGAGGATATTGTGATGATGCAAATCTATATATAGCTTTATGTTAGGATTTATTAAATTAATCAGCCTGTATAAACATTAAAACATCAGGTTAAATTTGTAAATGGGATGTATCAACTTAAAAATGCATTAATTACATTTTTACAACTTGCGAATCTGCTCACAATGAACATACATTCATGGCTTGTAAAAGTGTAACTGAAGAAGCATGCTCGTATAATCATTTATAAATGTCATGTAATCAAGTCTAATATATTCCAACTACTTGTTCTAGTGATTATAATTATTAAGCTTGTATGTTATCTACAGATATTTGTGTATGGGATTCAAATAGATGCATCTACAATCCAAATTAAAATTGCTTTAAATTCAATACAAAAATAAAATGTCTTGAAAGTGATTAATAAAATTGTTAATGGTTAGAAAATTAATGTATAGATTTTGATCCCCTTTTTGTAAAAGTTTATTGTTATGAATTACCAAAGAATATTAATAATTATGCTTGTAAAAGTAATTCAATAGAACCATGTATTTATGATTCTAAATTGATGTAATGTTTTGCAAGTCAAGAGAAAATGATATCAGTATATGATTGGTCATCAATTGAAGATATTGTCAGACTCTAAAAACCTGGTCATTAATCATCTATATTACATGGTACATGTGAATAATTGTAAAATATATATTATTGTATAAAATCAAGAATTCCAAATAAATCATGCATTTGGAATGATTCTTGTTAAGAAGTAATAGATTTTAACAATATAAGTTGTTCAGATTCTCTTAATATTTGGGGATGTTTAAATGTATCAAATAATAATTAATATTGTATTTGGAAAGATTAAAAATGTTAATAATGGAATTCTACTCTAGGTATTATGGAAAATGTTAATAGAAATGTTTGTATTTAAAATAGTGTAAATAGTGTTTATGAATAGAATTCTTGTATTTAAAAATCAATTGAATCTATATTATGCACATCAGATGGAATTAGCAAACTGACATGTTTATCTATTCCAAATCAATAATGTTAATGGATTAATTCTTGTATCAATTTTATTTTAACAAATTAAAAAAAGTGTTAAGATTATCAAAATGTAAATTATTTTGTTTGTTAAATGATAACTGATTTAACTTGTAGTTATGATTTTTCAAAACATATTTGTGTTGATACATCAAATGAAATTATTGGATTAGGAATGTCTAAATTTGGTTGTATTTCTAATAAGAATATTCCAACATTTTGGAATAATAGTCATGGTTGTTAAGAATTGGTTGATTATATTGATTGTGATACTACATTGATTGTTAATGAATTTGCTTGTCGGAAATATGTAAAAAATAAAGCTTGTTTTTATGATTCAATTACTAATCAATGTAAGAGTCACTTCAATATATGGTAATTATAATGCAAGACTGAAGGATTAAATTTATTGGGTTGTGTGTAAGTCTAACAAGAACCATGTATTTTTAAAGATAATAAATGTTAGGTATTTAAAGAATCATCATCAATATGTATGTTTATTAATCTTGTCAATTCTAAAGCCTGTGCATCAGTCATTAATTAACAATGCTCTTATGATTCAATCAATTTCAAATGCTAAACTCCATTGATAAATGAAAATTATTGTAATATTTCAGGAATCAATAAGGATGCTTGTGAAATTAATGCTCTTTGTATGTGGAATCAAGATAATTTGGATTGTAAGTGCAAATCAGATTAGAAAATTGATATATGCTAAATCTTTAATATTTCTGAATGCAGATCTAATAGTAAATGTTATTTTGACCTTGATATTTATAAATGTATTAAGAGATAATGTTATCATTAAAAGGAATCTGAATGTTCAGCAATTATGGATAATAAGACTTGTTATTTAAATTAAAAGAATGGTTGTTAACCAGCTACTAAATGTGAAGACATCATTGATCCATAACAATCTTGCTCAACCATCTATATTAATTCCTAGCCATGTATTTAGGCAGGTAATTCCTGTATTACATCTAACAATTATAGCATATATTGTCCATATTCAGATTGTTCCAATTCTAATTGTATAATTTAATATGGAGCATGTAAAATGAAGACATGTGATGATTATACTTCCCAAGAATGTTAATTAATTTAAGGTTGTTATTTAGATTAAGAAAATAATTGTTAATAATTACTTAGATGTAGCCAAATAACTTAAGAAATTTATGGTGAATAAGTGAGTAATATTTGTAACATCGCTTCAGTTGGAGGTCTAATATGTAGTTGGTAGAGATATACTTTATTAGATGATACTGAGATATGCACCAATCAATATTGTGAGTAATTTATTATATTTAATTGTAGAATCTATGGATCATCAACTACACTATGTTAAGGAAATGAATTTAATGGTTTTTCATGTGTGCTATTAAATCAATTAGTGTGTAAATAATGTGAATACATTACAGAACCCTGCTTTTGCAATTAATAAAAAAATATTTGTAAATATGATAATGGCAAATGTAATTCTATTTTGTGTTCCAATTTCTTAAATAAAGAAACTTGTTCCTAAGCTTCGGATCGTTGTTATTGGAGTACTTAATCTGAAAACGATACAGAAATTAATCTTTGCTTAAAGTAATGTGAAAAAATTATAGATGCTGTTGAATGTAACAGTAGATTAAATGAATGCTATTTTGAAATTTCTAATGGATTATGTGTCAAAGGGCAAAAATAAATACTAGATTTGAGTTCTGAAATTCTAATAGAAGAATTTTATGCCTTAATCATATAAGGATACATATTTCTATGTTTGATTATTTTTATGTGAAAATGATTATTTAATTCAGCAATACTTCACTTTAATTAAATAATAATTCTTCATTCTTTTTGATTGCTATTTATAATAAACCCATATACCATTATTGTATTCTTTAATTAGTTTTGAGGAATATTCGATATGAAATTATATTTAAATATATCTTGCAAATATAATAATAGATAAAGATTGTTAATTAATGATGATGTTTAAATTAAGAGGATATGGTCTCATTTTTTATTAGGTCAAACTATGCGCTAATTTAGACAGATGATCAAAATGAATAATACAAAAGTATTTTAACAAATTCTATAAAATTTTAGCAGAATTTATTTAAGTAATGTATTTCTTTTTTTTTCTTTGTATCATACTCTTAAATAAATATGTTCTATTTATTCAATTATTCATTTTATTAATCACTCATGCTAATAGGGTTATGTGCTTATTTTATATTAAATAGTTCCTAGAAATCTAATTCTTAATGTTATAATGAAAGTACTGAATACAAAAAATTTTATTTATTTAAGTTTTTAACAAAATTGAACTTTTTATCTTAATTAGTATTTGAGATTAAAAGAGTTAAAAATTTGATTAATTTAAAAAATTATATATATATATATTTTACTTTATTATTAAAAAAAATGATAATATTTAATTGCCAAATTATTTTTAAATTATTCTTTATTTTCAAACTCAATAAAATTGTTTTGACTATTGTTCATAAAATATGGCTGGAACGACAAATATTGTGAGAAATTGTAAACCAATAATTTATCCGATATTTTTACACAAAAATAAACGCATTTCTGAAAAATACTGATTAAAACTGCAAATAAATCTCAATTAAATTTTGGATTGATAAGGAAAAATTTAATGAAATTAAACTAAAAATATAATTAACATTGCTTTAATGAGCATGATAATGATTACTATTAATTTTTTGTTAGATGTAATAATTATTTATAAATTTTCGTTTGTCTTTATATTGTTTGAGAATAATTAATTTATCATTTTAATTAATGGAGAAGTTAATAAAATAATGTTTTCAGTGCTCACAAGTTAATTATTAATCATTGAATCTTCACTTTTTAAGTGCTCTTTTACAAAGTTCACTAAACCGCTTAAAACTATAAATATAATTATAATTTAACTTTTAACATTAATTCAAAAAAAAACTGATTCAAATGTTAATTTTATAAATCATAATCTTAAATATAAATCACGAACAAATAATTAAGAAAGTTTTTTTTTAAAATGTCAATCATAACTAATAATTTTATAATAGGATAAATACAATTCTTAGGATTTAATGGATAATCAATATGGAATAAAAATATGAATTTTTTAATATAGAAACTATGGAACTAATTAATTTAAAAAACAAATATATACCTATTAGATGTGAAAACAATAATTTTTGGTTCTTTATTCGTTAATGTATCTTTTTTTCGAAGAAGAATGATTTAATAAATTATGTTTTTATGAATTTTTGGTTTTTAGAGATATTAAATAATTTGAATATTATAATAGAAAGTTAAGCATTTAAAAATGTCCTTGATAATCAATTTAACAATATTAAAATTAATGATTAAGTCTATCTTTAGAATAGCTCTTTATCTGAGTAGTATAATAGAAGTTTGTGGTGTTTTATAAGTGATTTCTTCTTCATTTTAAGGAAATAGTTTCTCTGATGCTGATAGTAATTATAATATTGAAATTAATTTAGATTGGGTGGTAAGTGGAGCCTAACCTTAGTTCACAGATTGTATGGGCCAAAGATTATTTGGAGGTTATAATGTTTTTGGTGGAAGGGTTAGCGTTAGTAAGACTTTTGAACTCCCACCACATTATTTGATAAATTTGCAAGTGTAATTTTGGAAGTAAAATGTATCAATAATATAGAGTTGATTCATGGGACTGGGAATATGGATATATATTTGTAGATTATCAAATGGCATGGTAGAAAAAGTACAATTACTATGATGGAACACAAAAGTGTGGAGGTGGAGATTAATGGAAAGAAGTATCTGTGAATTTGAACTTAAATATAAAGCATAGTGGTCCTACAGCCGTGATAGTGTTCACAACAAATTTAGATGAAGGCCCTGACAATGTAAAACAACCAGAAATTTAATTAGGAATCTTGGGGATTTAGAGATTTCATTTTATCAGTTGAAAAATGTCCAGATGGTTGTTTTGTATGCTAATAGACAGATACAATAATAGAATGTTATGTTTGGAAAATAATCTAGACTAGTTGGAACTCATTAGATGTAAATGGAATAGTAACGGACGGTTGGAATGTTGTATCTGGAATTTCTGAGTCAACTTAATGTGGATGTATTTTAATTTATATCAATTAGCTGTTGCTTTGTTTGGTGGATACTAAAAGACAGGAACTTAAACAAAAATCAGGAAATCTTTTTTTAATATTCCACCACATTATAAATTGAAAATATAAATTTTATGGGCTAAAATTGACTCTTGGGATAATGAAGCAGCCTAGGTGAGAGTAGATAGTGTATTAGTTTGGGAAAGAAGATTTTAATGGTATGAGGGTTATTTTGGTAAGATATGTGGGGATTCAGATGTGAACCATAGAACAATATTTATTAGAATTGAATTAGATTTAGATCATACAGGTAGTCAAGTTGAAACTTCATTTTCAACTACGCTAGATGAGCCAACAGATGGAGAGTCTTTTGGTTTAAGAGACTTTATAATTTATTATGGTTCTTGTACTGATAATTGTGCTTAATGTACAGGACCAAGTGGATCAGAATGTTAAGGTATAGAAAATAAAAATAATTAGTGTGTTCTAAAGGATGTTATAATACTGGAGTTATTGATAAAATCTGTTAAGGTAATTATCAGTTATTTAAAAATAGTATGCTATCCATCATGTTATTAATGTAATGGACCAAACATAGATGACTGCATAGATTGTGGAGACCCTAATATATACAATAAATAATTGATAGCTGGATAATGTGTATGCATAATAAGAACTATTGAATATATTTAGAATGATGGTACTACTTTATGTTTGCGTATTAATTCTCCTTTATTTAATTTAGCTTGTCATCCAAGATGTGAAAAATGTTATCAGCCATTTGATAATACGGTTAATGAATATTGTACTATGTGCATAGCAGGATAGAATAGAGTTGTTTCTGATTAACTTAATTGTATTTGTAAAGAAGGTTATGGTGATGATGGCATCTCAGAAACTTGTGTTTGTAAATAATTTTAATAATAATAATTTTAGAATGTCATTATACATGTGAAAATTGTAATGGTTCTTTACAAACTAATTGCACATCCTGTTCATCCTCATCTAATCGTCATTTGACTTCAGATAAGCAGTGTCTATGCAATAAAGCATACATTGATGATGGAACCAACAATATTAATTGTCTATGTATCTTAATTAATATCATCATTTTTATAGTCATTTGTCATCATACATGTACTGATTGTGATGTACCTGGTGAAGATAAATGCACCAGTTGTCCAGTTACAAGATAACCAGATGTTATTGGAATCACATTTAAATGCATGTGCAAAGATTCTCATTATTTCAGTGATGACACCCAATTAGAATGTTTGGAATGTCATTTCACTTGTAAAACTTGTAATGGCATTTATGAAAATAACTGTTTAACATGTGACCTTTCTTATCGCTAATTAGTAATGTTCAAATGCATTTGTCCATATGGATACTATGATATTGGTTAATTATAATGTTCCAGTAACTAGTAAAATTATTTAAAGAGTGCTATTATACTTGCCATACTTGCTTTGGTCCCGAAGAAGATAATTGCATTACATGTCTGGCTAGTAACAACAGAGAAGTTAGGGCTAATAAATGTGTATGTCTAGATACATATATGGAAAAACTAGTTGGTGACCCTATGTGTTATAGTAAATAATTATAAAATACTAGAATGCTCTTATCGATGTGCTAATTGCAGTATTACAATAGACAATTGTACATCTTGTCCAGCCTTCTCTTATAGAGATCTAGGAACAAATAATTTTTGTTCTTGTCCTGACAAGTCATATGACTAACCTGGAAATCCAATCTGCATTAGTATTAATTGAGATTCATATTAGTTTGTCACAATAGTTGCTTAACATGTAATGGATCGTAATCAAATTAATGTACTTCTTGTAATCCTTAAATTTTGAGATAATTGGATTCTTCAGGATCATGTTTATGTCAGAGTAAATACTATGATGCTGGATAGCCTGAATGTCAAGGTATAAATTAAATGTATTCTTTAGCATGTAGTACCTATTGTTTGAATTGTGTAAATTCAGCTAATAATTGTATTTCTTGTAAACCAGATAGATTTTTAGTAGGAAATGTGTGTAATTGTTAAACCAAGTTAAATGGAGCTATTATCAGTACTTATTAAGTTTAAGGCAAAACTGAATGTCAAAGTTTTATCAAATTAATTTAACTTAGGTTGTCATTATTCTTGTTTAAATTGCAATGGATCTACATAAACTAAATGTACATCATGTTTGGATAGTGAAATGAGAACTTTATAAAATTCAAGTTGTGTTTGTGCACCTCATTACTTTGATATTGGCAAACCAAAATGTTAATGTACTAATATAATAATAAACATTAGAATGTAATTATAGTTGTGAAAATTGTACAGGACTAGATACTAATTGTTTAACTTGTTATCCTAACACATTTAGAACATTGATTAATTAACAATGTCCATGTTAAAAAGGATACTTTGACGATGGATCAAATTCTATATGCTAAAGTAATTTGTATTAAAAATTATCATAAGAATGCCATTATTCTTGTTCTCAATGTAGCTCTATTTCTACTAAATGTGATGCATGTTCTTCTACATCAAATAGATAATTAAATATATTGATGTTTACTTGTAATTGTTTAGATTCTTATTATGATTCTGGTGTTGAAACTTGTTCACAATGCCATTATTCTTGTTTTACTTGTAATTCTTTTGGATTTCAATTGTGTCAATCTTGTAAAGATAAGTCAACTTCATTTAGAGTCTTTAATTCAGGAATTTGTCAATGCTTACCTGGTTATTATGATAATGGAATCTCTCCTAATTGTTAAAAATGTTAGATATAATGTTTGACTTGCTAAAACACTGCAGATTATTGTATAACCTGTATAACTACAAGACACTTAGAAGGAAATACATGTATATGTGATACAGGTTATTTTGATAATAAATTGGATAAATGTGGTAAATGTGATTAAAATTGTTTTAATTGCACAATCAATTCTAAAAATTGTACTGAATGTGATTAATCATTAATGAGAATACTGGATAATGTTACTAAAACCTGCATTTGTTAAGCTGGAACTACTGAGATTAATGGTTAATGCTAAGTTTGTGATATTACTTGTTAAACATGTTAAAATTCAGACACTTATTGCACATCTTGTAAACTATTGAGATTATTAAATAACAATAAATGTAATTGCATAGATGGCACATATGAGAGTGGAAATGATAAATAATGTTTACTTTGCAATAAAACTTGTTAGACATGTATTAATCAAGAAAACTATTGTACATCATGTTCTGCAGATAAAAATCGAATCTTCAAAACAGGAAATATTTGTATATGCCAAGATGGATATTATGAAGAATCTATAACTTTAAGTTGTAAAAAGTGTGATTAGTCTTGTTTAACTTGTAAAGTATCTCCTAATTATTGTTTAACGTGTGATGCTTTGTACAATCTCAGTTTGGATGTTTCGAATAGATGTGTTTGTTCAACAGGTTTCTATTTTAATACATCTACTTTAAAATGTGAAGGTATAATAATAATAGTAATTTAGCTTGTAATATTTCATGTAAAGAATGTAAAACATAGACACAATGTATAGAGTGTGAAAATCTTACTAGATATTTTGATCCAGATAATTTGAAGTGTCCATGCAAAGATGGATATTATGAGGCTCAACTCAAAAAATGTTCAAGTACAAATTTCATATTATCATTAGCATGTGATTTAAGTTGTAAGACATGTATCAATTAATCTACATAATGTTTATCATGTGAATCAACTTATTTTAGAATTTTAAATAATTCTAATTAATGTATTTGTTTAGATGGTTATTATGATATTGGGATTGAGATGTGTTAATAATGCAATTTATATTGTAAGACCTGCTAAATAACTTCAACAAAATGTACTTCATGTAACTAGATACAACATTTTAGAGTATTAAATCAAAATCAATGTATTTGTTAAAATGGATATTATAATAATAATTCATTAATTTGTGAAAGTACAAAGTTACAATTAATTTTATAGAATGTTCTAATTAATGTCTTACATGTGAAGGGAGAAGAGATTATTGTAAAAGTTGTGATCTTAATTAAAATAGAATTGATTAATCTGTTATTAATAAATGTCCTTGTTCAAATGGTTTCTATTAAGATGAAAATGAAAATTGTTAAAGTATTAATTTTAAAGCATAATAAGAATGCCATCCAAAATGTTAAACATGTAATTAATCTAAAGAGAATTGTATAACCTGTTCTTATTCCAAAACTTCTAATCGACAAAGCATATCTCAAAATTGTATTTGCAAAGATGGTTATTTTGATGATGGCATTTAAGTGGATTGTTAAAAATGTAGTACACGTTGTAAGTTTTGTTAAAATTCTTCAACTAATTGTTTAACTTGTTTTAGCAATCTGAGAGATACACCTCCTATTTGTAATTGCAAACTTGGATTTTTTGAAAATTCTTTTTAGAATTGTGAACGTAATCAAATCAATTTTATTTTAGCATGTGAAAATTAATGTTTAACTTGTGAAAAGACATCTTCAAATTGTTTATCATGTAAAGAAGGAAGATCCACTCAACTTTGTGTATGTTAAGATGGGTATTATGAAGGTGGATAGCCGCTATGTGTTTGTATATTAATTAATAATAAATTTTAGAATGTGACTTTTAATGTAAAACATGCAAGGATTCCTCATTAAATTGTCTAAGTTGTAAAGGAGATCGAATTAACATTCCTAAATGTGAATGTCCTGATGGATTTTATGATGATCTATTAAATGAATCTTGTTAAGTTTGTGATGGATTATGTAAAACATGTAATCTAGATGGTTGTCTTAGTTGTAATGGCAATAGGATCCTATCTCCTGAAATGTCTTGTGATCAACCATAAAATTCTGTGAGCCATCCTGATACTGCATGGTGTTCAAGTATTAATATTTTCTATTAATAACAAAGCTTGTGAAGTTGCTGTAGTAGATGTTAGGTTCTCAGATGATTTACTATCTATTTCTATAAAGTTTGACTTTCCATTGAATCCATCATTCTTTACTACATAATTTTAAGATAATATCTGCTTAAAAATACTAGATTATCAAACATACTAATTACTTGGCAAGAATCCTATTTGTTATGTGGATCCAAATGATGATACAAAATTAATTATGAAAGTAGGATAGCAAGTTAAGATTATTCCAGGGGATAAAATCATTTTTTATGATAACTATTTTGGTCATCAAGGATGCGAAAAACAATTAGATATTTTTATCTACAATGAAATCAAAAATCCCATAAATCCTGTATCTCCTAAAATTATTTATGATTTACCTACATATCTTCTCAATCCTTGCGATGATAATATTATATCTATGAAATCAAAACTTAATGATGGACTTAGAGGATTTGTTGGAATTAAATGGACATACTCTGTAGATGGATTTAATGGAAATGGAGATCTTGATAATTTTGTTGCTTCATTAACCAGTTTATAAATGTTAGAATTAGTTATTCCATACNCATAATAAGAATGCCATCCAAAATGTTAAACATGTAATTAATCTAAAGAGAATTGTATAACCTGTTCTTATTCCAAAACTTCTAATCGACAAAGCATATCTCAAAATTGTATTTGCAAAGATGGTTATTTTGATGATGGCATTTAAGTGGATTGTTAAAAATGTAGTACACGTTGTAAGTTTTGTTAAAATTCTTCAACTAATTGTTTAACTTGTTTTAGCAATCTGAGAGATACACCTCCTATTTGTAATTGCAAACTTGGATTTTTTGAAAATTCTTTTTAGAATTGTGAACGTAATCAAATCAATTTTATTTTAGCATGTGAAAATTAATGTTTAACTTGTGAAAAGACATCTTCAAATTGTTTATCATGTAAAGAAGGAAGATCCACTCAACTTTGTGTATGTTAAGATGGGTATTATGAAGGTGGATAGCCGCTATGTGTTTGTATATTAATTAATAATAAATTTTAGAATGTGACTTTTAATGTAAAACATGCAAGGATTCCTCATTAAATTGTCTAAGTTGTAAAGGAGATCGAATTAACATTCCTAAATGTGAATGTCCTGATGGATTTTATGATGATCTATTAAATGAATCTTGTTAAGTTTGTGATGGATTATGTAAAACATGTAATCTAGATGGTTGTCTTAGTTGTAATGGCAATAGGATCCTATCTCCTGAAATGTCTTGTGATCAACCATAAAATTCTGTGAGCCATCCTGATACTGCATGGTGTTCAAGTATTAATATTTTCTATTAATAACAAAGCTTGTGAAGTTGCTGTAGTAGATGTTAGGTTCTCAGATGATTTACTATCTATTTCTATAAAGTTTGACTTTCCATTGAATCCATCATTCTTTACTACATAATTTTAAGATAATATCTGCTTAAAAATACTAGATTATCAAACATACTAATTACTTGGCAAGAATCCTATTTGTTATGTGGATCCAAATGATGATACAAAATTAATTATGAAAGTAGGATAGCAAGTTAAGATTATTCCAGGGGATAAAATCATTTTTTATGATAACTATTTTGGTCATCAAGGATGCGAAAAACAATTAGATATTTTTATCTACAATGAAATCAAAAATCCCATAAATCCTGTATCTCCTAAAATTATTTATGATTTACCTACATATCTTCTCAATCCTTGCGATGATAATATTATATCTATGAAATCAAAACTTAATGATGGACTTAGAGGATTTGTTGGAATTAAATGGACATACTCTGTAGATGGATTTAATGGAAATGGAGATCTTGATAATTTTGTTGCTTCATTAACCAGTTTATAAATGTTAGAATTAGTTATTCCATACCAAACTCTACCAAAACAGTCTAATATTACCCTTTAGATAGAGTTTCAAAATTTTGTAGGTTCAAAGACAATATAAATGATTAAATTGTAAACTCATTCAGGTCAATTTCCCACTATACTTTGGATTTCGAAACCTTATTATTATGCTTTTGAAACTATTGTTTTGCAATTCTAAATTAAAAAAAAAGATTGTTCTGAATCTGCAATTACTTAAATTGATAATTCTGAATATTAATTATCTTTAGTTGAAGTATATAGAAACAATTCTAATTCAAGGCCTTCAAGAGTAAATTATTAAGAAATCACACGCCAAAGTTTCTTTAATGTTACAATCTAAAATTATACATTGACTTCCAGAATTGCTTATACCTTCTAATAAACAACGATTGATCCTTTGCTTAACTTTTCAATTACAAGAAATATTACACTTGAAATTAGCTCAGGAGGTATATTTTGTTAATTTAATGGGACAAAAAAGATTTAGAATTATAGAAAAGAAACTTATATATACATATCATGTAAAGATTTAGATACTTAATATGACTGGAATGAAGATTCAGGTATATAAATTAATGTTGAGTGTGTTGATTTGACGATGAATTCATTTTGTATGGATTTAAATAAAAAAATAATCAAAGTAAATAAAACAGATAGTATCCAAGTAATTCCCAAATAAACAATACAGCCTTATACTATTTAAAGTTGGACAGTAGTGGCTTCAAAAAATTAATTTACTTATAAATTTAAATAAAATATTGTCTATCTAGATAATGATTTTAAATTATTAAATGTTACTTATAGTAAAGGGTATTTAATGAGACCAGTTAATAACTATGAAAATTTGGAATTCACTATTAATATTCCTTTTTAAGATCGATAGTATCTGTTAGAATATCAAGTAGCTATTATTTATAATTTTGAACTCATTAAGATATTACAATCGGAATACTTTTAATACTAATTACGAATATTTGATTATTTTTAGGAATTTACAAAAGGAAAATAAATAAATTTGAAATTTTTGGCTTAGTTTACTAATGAAATTATACCTAGTTAAGAAGATCTATAGTTAATTGTTAATTAACCTCCTACTTGTTTAGTGAGTTTGAGTGAATAAACAGTTGAAGCATTGAGACCCTTAAAAATTATTACAATTTGTGATTTTTCTGATGCAGCTCCATATACATATTAATTGAGATATTTTCTTAAAAATTAAGATTTAATTGATTTTTTGAATAGTAAATCTGATTATTCATTAATTTTGAGTAGTTATTAAAGTTCAAATATTTTGGAAGGGTATTTTCCATAAGCTGATGGCATTCTCTTAATATAAGCAATGGATTCCAAAGGATCATACTTAAATATTGAGAAATAGTTAAATGTAACAAAGATTGTTCTCAATTGTTCCAACATAATAATAAATTAATATAATTTTAAATAGCATATTTCTTTATTATTAGAAATTTTATTGAATCATTAAGATTAAAAATAATGTATTAATCTGTCCTAAGAGTTATTTTCAAAAATAAAAACCTTTTTGGATTCTGATAATATTGATGATCAATTATTAGTTTATCAAACAACTAAATTATATAAAAGATTAATTCAAGATAATAATAGTTCCAATACTTCTATAAGATTATTGAATGATAATTCAGAAAGTTGTTTTAAGAATTCTACAAAAACTTTTTATTTCGCAATCCCACATGCTGATACTCAGTCAACTGTCACTCCAACTAGTTTACAAGCAGAATTAAAAAAAATTATTACTATTGTTCAGAAAATGATAATAAAGTCAACTAATTTTGATGATTAGATAAATTAAGACGTAGTGTTTTTGGATGAAAAACTTTATTAGAAAAAAGATGCTATATTGGACTCTTTATTAGTTATGTAACTTTTGATTGATGACATTTTTCTCAAGATTCCTACAGCTATTGTTAGTTCTTAATAAGATAAAGAATAGATTATTGATATAGCAGAGGGATTAATAAATCTTATTGAAAAGATTGCATTGCATGTGAATGTAAAAGCAAAAGTAAATGGTCCTCAATTAATTGTTAATGGATAAATTCTAAAATGGTAATTATCAAAAATTACTAAAGATATTTTAAATAACTAATTCGATATTGATAGAGATTTATTAGATGGTTTGATTGATTTTGTATAAAAGGAATAAATAGAATTAAATTACAACTATTTAAATCTATCTCAAGAATTATAAACAAAATTGCTAAAATTCTTTAATTTAACTACCCTTGAAATTGATCAATATAATTACAAGAAAACCAATCTATAGAATCATCTCTATAAGGATCGTTATATAGAATATCAAGATACAATTAAATAATACATGATCGATATGTTTAAAACTCCATACTGTTAAGAATAAGTTCCATAAGATAAACTTTACTCCTATGATTGTGTTAATATCCATTAAGATGAATAATTTTATAAATGTGAATTCTTAACTGAGGAAATTGATAATCAAACTGTTTAAGTCTCTTGTAAATGTCAAAAATTAGGAAGCATTTTTTTAATAAAATTCCTCAACAATTCAATTATATAATAAAATTTCACATAAAATTCTTTTAATGAATATCAAGTGGATAATTCGAATTTACAATTAAATGAATAACCAATTTTACTATTTCAAGGCATCTTCATTGCTTTTTCTTTATTCTTTTATTATGAATTAGTTTCAATCGAAATTAAATCAAAATAAAAACCAATATTTAACAGAGTAGATTCAGATCTTAGCGGAGATGAAACTCAAAAATAAGGAAAAGCTAAAATTTTACACTTTTATCCAGGACATTTATCTGTTTTCAAATAATCATTCAAAGTAAGTTTTATTTTTAATATATAGTTTATTCATGAAATATTATCCTTTTTTTTTACAGAAAGTATCATCCTTACTAAAAGTTATCGATTTTTGGAACTATCGATCAAAATAAGTTTGTTGATACCATTCTCGTTTTTGGAAATATCTTTTTTAGCTGAAATTACAATCTATGGAATCTTACTAATCAATAGCGGAACTTTTCTATTTATTAAAATTATTCTCTAGATATTTTAGTCTATTTACAGATTTGGAGGAAAATGGAGTATTTTAATTGCTATTTTCTATTTACTAATACATTTCCTTTGTTATCTGGAATTTATTCTTTAATTGAAGAATAGGTAAATATCAATCTATATCTATTTAGTTAAAAAGACCTTTAAATAATCAATATTTAAATTATTATCATTTTAATTAGTTCACTCATTTTATTTTATATCATTTTGGAACCAATTATGATATTCCTAAGAATAATTATTTTTAAACATATCACTTAATAAATGAGAAATTAGGTTATTAATCCATTGTATTAACTTGTTTACTTTTTTGTTGGCCATCAAAAGTTAGATGAACTCTTTAATAATTATGCCTTTATTTGAATTCTAATATTTATATGATATGATATTCATTTTATTTAATATTCTTTTCTATTTTTCTCATTAAAATTATAATCAGTCTTAAACAATAGTTAAGATAATACTTTACTAAAAAATTATTCAACTTATTATTTAACAAAAATTATAAAAACAAATATTTAATTGCCAATACTAAATAATAATCATATCTATCCAAATTATTATGATTGCTGTGATTATTGATTTGTGTCCTTTTGATAAAGATTAATCAAGGATATACTTTCAAATTTAATAATCTAATCTAACCACTATCATAGATATTTAGGGATTCTATTAAAATATGTTTATTGAAATTTTATAATAGAATTGTTAATTAGATTTTTTTCGATATTTAAAATAATTAATTTAATAGCTTTTTTGTAATTTCAATTTCTTAAATTCTTTTAATTAATCTGAAAGATCTTTGCAGATCCAGTATTTGGATAATATATTTAAATCTCTCCTTTATATCATTATTTAATTATTACATTTTAGCATGTTTGTTCCTAAAGTCTTATGTTAATGAAATCAAGTGCTTAGTACAATTGATAATTGGTGTAATACTCATAAATGATTAAATTATAAATTTTCTATTACAAAATTTAATTGTAACTTATCAAAGTATAGTAATTTAACAATTACTAATTTAGTAATTTATTCAATTTTTAAAGTGAGATTTCACATAGTGAAGTAAAATAAATTTAATCTTGTATAAAAAATTAATAAATAATCTAATAGGCCTCCTATTCAATAGATGTAATTTCATATGTTTCTCCAATTATATATAATAATGTTTACATATAGATCAATTGATATTCTTAATCTCTAAGAAAACGAAATTTTGGGTTATAATTAATTAACACTTTGAATAATCATTCCTATTCTCAAGACTTTTACTTCAACTAATCCTTTTCCTTATGCCTAAAGAAAAAAAAATTAATTTCTATTGCAGTAAAAATTATTCATGAATTACTTAATCTTAAGGTAAAACAAGATGCTTAGAAGACATGAAATTTTTTTGATATTCAAAAATAATGAAACAATTGTTATTCTTTTTTTAGATAATAATTAATTGGTTTATGGTCTACAAAATATTCATTTTTTCATTCTAAAATATTGATTATCCAAAAAAATATTTATAGTTTGATTTAAAAAATGGAATCTTAAATCTATTAAAATCTAAAGAAAAGATTATGATGATAAATTTAATTACTTCTATGAATCTGATTCACCAGTATACATGTTTCATTCGGCTTTTGTTATTGCATCTGATTACTCTAAGAATAAACTACTTTTATAGAATTATTAAAAGGGAAAATAATCAGAAACAGTGAATTGATTGAAGGCAATCATCAATGATTTCTTATATATTTGATCCTCTCAAGAAGTAAAAAGTGATATGAAATTATGGAACCTTAATTAGAAAACAGATCTAAATAGAGGGTTTTAATTTACAGAGAAGTAGATAAGAAGTCCATAAGAAAGATTAACTTTAAAGAGAATAGGAAAAATAGATACTTAAACAGAATTTTTAGCTCAAAGTTATTAAATACAAGTAGTTATCAGTCGAAAATATAAATTTCCAAAAATATTGTTAGCAATTATTAATTATATAGCCTATAAATTGTAACATAACTGTTTACTACAATTATATATGATATTAATTATTTATTTTTCTCATTCATAAATTTTCTCTAAGCATAAGCATAAGACTTTCATAATCTTAAATTTATAAATATATATGGAAAATATAAATTTTTATTATTTAACTAGTTATATTATTGCTCAGTTTTCTTTTTTGCAGTTCTTCGCATCCATAATTATCTGTTGAATTGGCTTTCTTCAATTTATTTACTTTCAGCTTAGTTTTATAATTTTTCTAGCCAATTATAAAAGATATCTGTATTTTCAAAATTTAGATGCTGTAATATAATGTGCCATAAGGGAATCTTTATGGAAGTAGTTAAGTGAGGAATATCTTATGAAA